ACACACGCATGGTCACGGGTTCGAATCCCGAATTGATATCCGCCCGGGCCAACCACGCCTTTCATCCCTCCAGGGTCGCTTAATTGGTACCAGACTCGTCTGGGAGGTTAAAAGCACCGACTTATACATCAGCTAGCCACCGCAAGTCATTGTATAGGCCACACAGGCATTCAAAACGCCACTACGATCCGGAATAGTAGCCCAAAGCGGGGCGCATCCCTCTGACGGGATTGATCAACGCGTAGAACTACCTTTTATCTTGTATTGTGCACCTATTTTTAAATTTAACAAAAAAATTTAATTTCCCTAAATGCCCTAGCCAAAATTTTTCTGAACATGGCTGCAACGTACCTTTACTGTTCTCATGCTGACAGTAGGTAATGATCGAGTTTGTGATAGTTTCTTCGTCGATTCGATATCATGCCAATCACCATAGGCTGGCTGGACTTGAGAGACCGCATGGACCTCTTTCTCAGTGGGAACGGCAGCTGAGGGCTGCGTAGATTTACTGGCTGGCTCGGTCTTTTTGGCTGATACCGGTGTAACTCGTCTCAGAACAGGCCAAGGGGACAGTGGGGTCTGAGCGAGGTCCATTGGAGCTGAACTGAGTGTTGTCTCCCTCACAGTACGGTAGTGTGTTCGATCGTCCTGGAAAAAGTCGTCCCATCTCAAGGGCATCATAATCAATTCTATTATATTCATTTTAGTTTAGCTATTGAATATTAAATGGTAGAATTACCCGGGTTGGATACGTTGGGTACGTTTGTGTGACATCCATGATAATGTCTTCGGAAGTGGAAACTTTGAGCTGAGTTGGAGCTTTTGCACCAAAGTCGAAAACCCCGTTTTCTTTCATTTTCCATCGTAGCATTTCCAGTAAACAAATTTTCAACGCCACATATCTGGAATAGAGATCAAAACAACTATTCAGCTATTTCCTTCTTGGGAACTATTTTATGGGGCAGATCATTAGAGAGTTCGGGGCTACCAAAAGGTTTTTGATTTA